TGTTAATGTTAATGTTAATGTTAATGTTAATGTTAATGTTAATGTTATCTCTTTTCTTCTTCTGTCGCTCTTTCTTCTCATTGCAGTCCAACGTAGGTGTCGTTTTTTCGTTTCGCATTAACTCCCAAACGAACGCGACGAAGTTTAACTTGAAACAGGCATCATGAAAAAGGCAAAAAATGGGCGTTAAGGTTTGATCAAAACTGCCCTATATCTTAGCAGAAAAAAGGGTAACTTCCATAAAAACTGCTCCTCTGTTTACTACAACCAAGTATGCAGTAAGTAATTTAAACAAAAAGCTAACTCAGCTAACGAAAATGAAATACAAAATTTATTGGGTACTGAAAGTTAATGAAATTCGTTAAAAAATATTTTACGATATCATAAATTACAAAAAATTTGCTTCTCTTGCTTTCTCTCATACCTACATATGTATATATCTCATTTCTATAAATAACTATTTGCATAAACTTTCTGCAAAATATGCATATTCATTGATCAGCCAAACATTTTCAATTTTTTTGCATTATTTATTGTAGCTGTCTATATACATACGTATGTACGTATGAGTACGTTTATTACAAGTCTCTTTAAATATACAAATCTCTAAAATTATTTCCCTTGAAGGGACTACATACATACATATTGTGTACATTCAGTATCACAGTGAATTAACTAAATAATTAGAAATACAAGTTCTTTTTAAATAAATTAAATTATTTAAATAACATTTTAATTATGCGCATTAAATTAGTGTATACTTAGAAACTTTCTTCATGTTTCTCCGCCCATTTATGGTTTCACCACTCCGTCCAGCAAAGATATTTTACCATTAAATTTGCCATTCACGCTGCTGGGCATATAGTAGACAGGATAGGCACCATCGGCGAAGTTTAGCGGCGTGCCATTTAGACTGCCCATGGCCATGGTACTTTGATTGAGATTAAAACGTGGCACCACTTTCATAGTAGCGGGCACCAACACCTGTCGACTTTCATTCATCAGCTTCGGGAACTGAGAGGGATGTCCGCTCACTGTATTCGGTTGATATGGCACAATAATTGTCTGGATGGGTGAGTCTTTCATGATGGGTAGCGCCAATGAGATGGGCGTGCGCCCTATCATGAGCAGAACGGCGATGCTGAGTAGTAGCGGTTGCCGACATGGCAAAATGTTGTAGCGCTGTAAGATATGCAAAATAAATTTAGCTTCGATTAAAATGAAAATTATTTTAATGGCTAAACGTTAATTCAATTTATGTAGAGCAGGCGAACGTCTGCTCTAATAAGATTTTGCTAAACTGAAGTAACAGCCGTAAGGGATTATTTTAAGTTGACTTGCTTTAAAATTAATTCGATTCGACGAAATCAATTTTATTCAGCTTAATGGCTATGAATTTAAAACTGATTTTTAATG